TGCAGACAAACTACATGTGTGATCAGCTTACTAAAGCGAATGAGCAGTTGAGGGTTCTATTCATGCTTAAGAACATTGCAAAGTACAGAGAAAGCTGTTTTTTATAGCTGGTCTGTTCTATAGCTGCATAGTGCACCACGAGAGTTGGACGGACCGATTTTATGCGGCTCTTGACTAAGCTGCTTGGGAGCTAGAAAGCCAGAGGGAACCAAAGGCTTGCTGGATGTCCAGCAGCTTTGGTCTTTCTAAGTTTTATATTCACTGTACACCAGTGCGTGGTCCCTTCTGTGCAGTGAGAAATACTGAACTGCTCAGTGATGGAGAATTGATCTCTAAAAGAGCCCAGTGAGTTTAATTACATGGAAGTGACAGCCTTCCCTGTAAAGCAATAAACTAATATTTAAAAGGACCATAATGTTCATGCACTGGACTCTTGGGACCATATTCACGTGGCCTCGTGGTTTGAGTGAAGAACACAGAGCAGGCGTGTGACACTGGACGGAACTGGAACAACATCTCCCAAGTCCCACGTGTGGGAGACTTGCTCTGGAAAGCCTGAGGCATACTTGCTTCACAGCCCTAAGGAGCTGGATGATACTAGTGATCCTGACTCGCACCCAGAATTTAAATCTTTTTTTCTTCTTGGAAAGACTTCCCCTCCCCAAATTTTTTTGCAGAACTGCTAGTCAAATGCAGCAGTTTTTCAGCCTGACATCTTCCCTTCTTAGTTAATATACTAAGGTCATTAAAAACAGTTTACTATTGCTACTCAGTTAGTAAGATCCCACAGAAAACTGGATGTGTCATAGGAGCACAGTGTATGCTGTTTGACATGGCTTAGCCAGTGCAGTGGTTTCACTCCTGTTCCACCTGAATGCACCTTTCTGTCTTACGCATGGCTTTTCTGGAGCATGTTGATGCCTTTGTGACAGGTCTGATTATCTGATAGGTGTGCAGCAACTTTGCTGACTTCCAAAGGTGATGTTTACTCTTTGTTTCAACCAGGGCATGTCAGGAAAAGCACAAAGGCCAAAGAGTCTTCAATTAGGAGACAACAGACTGACTTTGCTTCAGAGTTCTTCACTCCAGCAATCAATGACTCGCAGCCCACCACCGATCACTCCCAAAACCCCAAGAACCCAAAGTAAGTTCTGTTATAGAGCAATTGCTACATCCTTCAGGGCAGTACCTGCAGTAGTAGAAAATACCAGATATTTGCTGAGGTAGCTTCACTGGGGAGGGAGGAACCGCTTTGAAGAAGTTCGCAGAGCTACAAGTGACTCTGGGCTGTTAATCTTTGTAGTAATTTTTGTCAGATAACAGAATTTGGCAGTGTTATCAAAGGCACTGCAATCATACTTGTGACTTACATATCACGTGTTAAAATTAGTATATCAGATGAATTCCAGAGAACAATTTTTATCTTTTTCAATTTCCTTCTTGTTTTCTCCTGTATTGACTTGTGGGGAGGTATATTAAGCCTCAAGGTCAACATCACATGCAATCAGTGTAGATGCTTGTAAATGCATCAAAGTCAGGTGGGTACAGCACATTCTAGATGAATTCATCTCCTGTGAAGTCACTGGACTGAACTGCATCAGTCGGCAGGGTATTTCTGATCAGCTCTGTGGCTAAATTTTCTGGACAAGCCCTGAAGGCTTTGTTAATGGATGAACAGTAACTCCCATCGTGTGGCAAAAAGCCTTAGGAGAGGTTGCTCTGCAGCTTGGAAACTTGGCTTAATGATATTACAGCTGAAAGAAGGAATTTATCTTGAAGAACTAGCAAAATAAATAATTTGCACCGTTACCTTCCTTGCATATCCAGTAAGCTCTGTAGTTAGTTCTGAAGCAACATATGAATATGACGATATGACTAAGGTAAAAATACAACTACAGTATCACCACTGATAATCTCCCGTGTTAGCCGTTGTGTTTCTCACACTACTGCTTGTTTTTTAAAGGAACAGAAGTTAATCTGTAGGACCTGACTGTCCTTCCTCTTATGTGGATATAAATTCAGAATTCAGTGTAGATAGTGAACTAAACTAGCATAAAACTATTGAGAGGATTAAGACAAAAAAAAAAAAAAACCCACAACGTTTTAGGGTGAGGGATGGGGTGGGGAGACAACCAGAAACACAAACAAATGCAGGAATACTATATGAAGAAAGATCTGTGAAAGGAATGTGAAACCTCACTCTTTACTTAGGAAGCGCTTTTAATTGCCATTAGTAGCCGGACAGCTTCCCAGGAATTCTTCTGAAGTTTGGGTACTTATCTACTCCATCAACTGGAGTTAAAATCAAAGTGAATTCTCAGGTTGAGGCCCAGGCTGAAAGGAAACCCCACTGAACATTGCAGATGTGATAATGGATTCAATTTTCTGTTTTCTCAGCCATGCATTTTTTACATAAGCTTAGATTCATTTGATGAAGATAGAACTCTTCTGGGCATTTTGACCTTACGGGAGATACAACTGTGACTCTGTTTTGACATATCCATTCAGGTTTAGCTGCTAAAGTGGAGAACTATTAGCAGATCAAAAGCACAACATATTAAATGAATCTCCTTTAAAATTCTACATGGACAATTCCATTTCCCATTCCTTTTCCACCTACTTTAATGTCTTGTCTTATTGTTGTTGCTTCTAGGTTTTCCCTCACTGCAAGCTGATGGATTGGCAACTGCTAGCTTACAGAGCACGCCACCCCCACCTCCGCCCAAGAGCAAACCCTATGAGAACAGCAACCCGAGGAATTCTGTGGAGGTAAGGAAATGAGAGCTGACGTTTTTTTGGAAGACAGCTTTTGAGAAAGAGGCACCAGTGGAATTTTCCAAGCTGCTTCTAGGGTGGTGCTACTTGAAACTTGTCTAATCATTTTACTGGTTCACTCCCTGAAACCACAAAAGAATAAAAAGTTTTTTGCTTCAAGAAAAGGCTATCAAATGCAGGCACTGCTTTTCAAGTGGGAGTTGTGTTGTTCTTGGTTAGGCAAACTGTGTGTGTGTGGGAAGATATATTGAAAACAAATGAGCACAATGATTGAAAAGTTTCAAAAACATGATCAATGTAAAATAGCACAGCAATCTGGTCCTAAAAAAGAGGGGAAAAATTTCCCACATTTTCGGAAATTATAAATGTCTCCTTTTGAGTCCTCAGCTTAGAAGAACCTAATTTTTCAAGGTATGCATTATTAGTCACTTAAAACAGCCTGTATTGTATCACCATCTTAGCACAGCCTTTTTCTCAATTTCATGGTGAGCTTCCTTCTAGGAACATCAAATTGCCACTGTTTTTTTATGCTGTATCACTCATGTTTCTTTTATATTGTGGGATTCCAAACGGCTTGCAGATATTTAACGTTCAAATACTCTTGGTCATTGTGTCAGAATAACTTCATCGGCCCCTAAAATGTAGGTGCTTCTGATAGGAGACTGCAATTGCTTACCAATGTGCAGCAACAGAAAGCATCCTTTTGTAACTGTGAAAGGGATGGATGTCTTCCCCAGTCCGATTTGCAAAGAGAATTTACGGAGTACCGTAGCGAGATGAACTGGAATTTCACCAAAAAGAACTTAAAGAATGATCGCACTTAAGAAAATCTGTTACCTCTGACAGCACAGGAAGACAACAAAATAGCTGATCACTTAATTCTATTAGAGGGAGATGTGACACTGGTATAAGGCCTGGAAGCATAGGATAAATAGGAGGTTTTCTACTTGGCCTTTCGCTTGGTTAGAGTTGACGGTGCTTCTGAAAAGGGGCAGTATAGCTGCTGTAGGTGGTGTGAATGGCGGAAATATGCCAGCTCTAGGGATGCTGTGGGAGTCACTGGTTGAAGAGGATTAATAAAAGAGCCTCCTTCCCTTGAGTCTTGTAAGAAAACTAATTACTAACATGTTCTGGCTTGCAACATTGACATTGGCTTGCAGCCGAATGGAAAGGATTTGAAAGTCTGTAAAGGGAGATTGTAAAAGTGTTTTCTGAAGGGTTTTGTTACTTTGTGAAGTCGAGACTCTGCTCCTTCAGTTAAAATAGTCCTGAAATCTTGGCAGTTTCAGCTAAGCAAGAGGTGAGCCACACAAGCTTTTTGTTTACCTGGCCTTTCATGTCTCATTTGTTTACAGGATGCCCCTTAAAACAAGCAAAGAGCCAACTTGAAAGAACCCACTTGTTCTTGCAGGAAGGTGCACGAGGAACACCCTGCAAGCCTCTCTGCTGGGCGGGAAGGCTGTGTCCTGCTCTAGTAGAACCCTTTGCTTGCTGCTGTTTTATGGAGTTAGTTTCACAATTCTGATTTGGAAGCATTTTACATCCTTTTGGCCCTTACTTGGTGCAACTCATCAAGCCAGCAAGATGAAAATAGCTGAGTTTTGAAACCCTGAGGGAAATGAGTTTATTGCCATTTTACTGATAAACAAAAGGTGGGACAGAAGGGCAAATGGCTCTGACTCAAAGTCAGGCTGCAGGTCAGAAGCAACTAAAGTATATCTGGAACTAAAGTGTGTTCTGGCAACTAAAACCTTTCTGCTTCTGTTATCTCCTGGCAGTCCGTCTTTGTTTGCCCCTCTCATCGATGGCATGTGGCACTGAGAGGCTGAATTCAAAGATTTGGTGCTGAAAGAAACATCAAGTACTATGGGACCTTTTGGGTTTCTTCTTGTCTTGTTGTAAAAGTTACTTGCTGGTAGCAATTTATTTTTCTGTGTGTTTTTGTTTTATCTTCTCAGGTTGCTCCACCACTACCCAGCAGACGTGAAGCCAAACCTCCCCCGCCGCCCCCAAAAACCAGAAAATCCAGCGTTGTCTCTTCAGAGCAAGGATTGCAGTGAGGATCGTCACTTGCTGGTGAACAACAAGCGCCTAGAGTGAAGTGGCTGCTTTCTTTTTACTGACATGCTGGGGCTCTCTGACCCTAAAGACTAGTGATCTCACCTGCCATTCCATTCACTCCCCTTGGAGTTTTCTTTGGGAAATACCAAAAGGAACTGTTATTGTGACTGTATTCCATAACCTCTGGTTTACCTTTCCAGTACTGAGACACTAAGCTCATAGCAGGACAAGTCACCCTACTGGAATTCTTGTCTGTCATAGTCTTGTCTGTCCTGAGTTTCTTCACTGATGCAATTTCAGCAGTTCATTCCTAGTGTAAATCTGTCACAGTAGTGATTTGCACCAGTGTTTGAAACAAGGTAAGCCACACCAGTGTGAGAGGTGTCCTACAGTATTTTCACATAAGTTCATTACAGCTTTACAGCTGTATTTATGCACCGATCCCTCCTCCTGTTTGCATGAACAGATCGCAGCCATTCCTAAGTTGTGAAATGTTGGCTCCTGAGATGTCAGGTGCCAGTGTATATGTGCAGTCTCCTAAGGTTCTTGATTGCAGGCAGAGACCTCAGCATTGTTAGCAGAATAAGAAGTCTTTTTTTTTTTTTTTTCTGCTAGCTATCCTGTGTATTTAAGGTGAAGTGCAGACGTTCTGCCTTACACTGTCTCTGCTCCGAGGAGTGGCAGTTGCTCACTCGCAATGGACAGTTTAGGTTCACCCAGTACTTTGGCATAATTTCGCTGTTGATTCTGGTTTTAACAGTACAGAGTGGTTGATAATTCCTCCCTGAATTATCTTACCTACTTGGTTTGTGCTTGCACCTGGGACTTGATACAATACTTCATCTTTGTGGTTTTTAATAGGATGTAAAAAGTTGCTTCTCTCCTGTGAATATGTGAGAAGAACAGAAGCTGCATCGATACCAGCACTGTACTGGTACCAGCAACTTCAGGAGGATGGAGTGTGCAAAACTGGTTATACTTCCTGACCTCAGAAACAAAGTCTGGTAGTTACTGTAATCTTACTTTGGCTGGGCAAATTCACACAAACGTAAATAATTCCCATTCTCTTTCTTTTCCTGCACTCATTTGTGGCAGTACTTGCACTTTGTTTTATAGCCTCCCTTGATCTAGTTTTTTAACAGCCACTAGAACTTAAAGAGCCATTTAGATGTGGGATGTGTGTGAAAGACTTGACAATTAACCACCTAGTTTCCTGTTGCTTGGATTACCTCAGCTCTCTCTGGCTTTTCTTTCCTTGGAGGATCGGATAAAATTTATTCCCTGCACTGTCTGGATGTCAGCATAAGTCCTTCTATTTGTGTAGAGAAAAAATGACATGATCTTCGGTTTCACTGTTTTTAAATTCACATGATCCATGCAGAAAAAGGCTGTTGCCTGCTGTTAGAATAGCCTGTCCTTGCAGTTGCATAGTGACCGAAAATTCAATACAAATATCACTGTTATTTGTGGACCAGATGGGCCTTACGCACAGCCTTGCTCTGTGCTGCCACTGAAATCCTGCTGGTAAAAACCAAGACATCACCATTTGTGATTAATACTCCTAATCTTAGCAGATCCGTTTTGCACCTTTGAGGGCTACTTGTCTCTGAACTCTGTTAGAAGGGCTGCAACCCTGGGGTGGGGACTTGCTCTTCTGTGGCAGGCTTGCAAGGAGTTTGTGCAGCACTTAAGCCAGAACACAATTCAGTTTAAAATTCTCTTGCAGTGTATTTCTGCTCTATTCTACTCTTAGAAGATCTAGATTACTCCAAAGATAGTTAGAGCAGCTCGCTCTTTGCTGTGTGGAGCAGGACTTTCCTAAAGTGCCTGTTCTAGAACTAATGCGTTGTGAAGAACTTCACTATTTTCTTGCCAAGCTAGATGATTGAAATTTTCTTTATATATCCCCTGCCAAAGTTGCAGCTGCCTGCTGGTGCCATATCACCAGACAACAGAAAAGCCAGTGAAGTTTGGGGTTTTCTTGATTTGTAAGAATTACTCTCTTGTCACATTCAGGCAGAATATTTTGCCATGCTATTCCGCCTCTGTGACTGCCCTATTTATAAACTTTTGTCATGGCTGTTATTTTTCATTAATGTTTTCCAGGGAGGGCAAAAAAATCACTTGTTGTCGTTGTTCCCCTTACTGTGGAACTCAGGAAACATGGGAGTTTGCCTGCAAAGTTTGAATCTAAACTTCTTTGGAAAGTGCAAAGTTTCTTAAAGCTCATCATAAAGGGGACCAGCTGAGGAATTTGGATCCAAGTTTATTTCTGAACCTATACAAAACTTTGACTGTCTGGTTACAGCTTGTGGCCTTTTCATTTATCATCGGTATCAATGAAGATTCTGTCATGGGCTCTCTCTTCCAGGAAATAATTTTGCTTGTTAAGTGTAACTGTCATTTAGCTTCTGATTATCTGGTAGAAGTTGGGGAGACCCACTAAAAATCCTGCTGAGGATGTTGCTCACAGTAACAAATACTGCTGGGTTGTGGGTTTTTTTTGCCAGCCACTGCACTGTTATTCTGCTCACATGGCTTAAATGGGTTTCATTACCTTACTGGAAAATTGAAGTTCGTTAAAACTAATGAAAGCTTTTCTCAGCAAAGCCTTTTTCAGGGAAAAACCAAACCAATGAAACCCTAGAGTTTTTCGTTCAGACTGAAGTAGTGCTTTCTTTTGTTCTTATACATTCCTTTTGGCTTCAGTGTGACGCCGGTTAAAGAAACCTGCAGAAGCTCCATTTGCTTTGCTTCCTGCATGGCACTGTAAAACAGATTGCTTTCCTCAAAAGGTCATACTGGATTCACATCACGAAACAGGTTGGAGACATTTTGGAAGTTGCACTGCAGTCACGTCATGCACATCCGCAGTCATGTTCGCTGTAGCACATACAGCTGGCTTCTGGGTTGTTGCCTTCTCAGGGGAAATCTTTGAAACCTTTCTGGACAACTTGACCATGGTTCACCCCCTCTCTCTGGTGCATTGTAGGACTTGTCAGCTCCGCATTGTGTTCTTGGACATAGATGCTGCTTGATTTGAAAACCACAGGGTTTTCTTGTCTTTCATTTTTGTCCACTTCTTCCTCTTCTTGTAACCACTGTCTTCCTTCTGCTGCACACATGAACTTAAAGGATCCTCAGAACTCTTCACTTGAACAAGAACTGTTTGTCTTCGGAGAGAATTTTGCTTCAGGCAGAACAGCAGGATGTGGACTGAATTGTGGAAGAGTACATATTAACACCACCTATTGTTAAATCAGTGCCCTTCCCTGTTCTACATCTGCCTGTTACCTTATTCTTAGGTGCATTTCCTTTTCAGAGCAGATTGGCTTTCAACTCCTTTGCTAAGTCAGCAGAAGCAAAGGACCGTATAGGGATCCCAGCTAATGGTTTGTCTGTCGTGGGTAAACAAACTAGCTATTGGGTTTGGGTATTTTGGTTCCAAGTGACTTTTGAGTCTTATTTCCTTACCTTTTTGATCTGCTTTGATAACTTTTAACTCACAGAAGTACCTTGTGCATTCAGCAGGTTTTTTTTTCCTGGAGACGGGAACTAGGCCATGCAAAAAAAACTCCCTGGAGGAAGTCTGTCTGACCTTGGGAGGAATTTTTCAGCTGATCTTTAATGACCCTTTACATAATTGAGGAGACTTCGTTCTGACTGCTTTTTTTGCAGTTTTATAGACTAGGTTTATGAACAGAGTATTTAGCATGTAAGTGGTTAATTATCATAGACTCATTAAGGTTGGAAAAGACCTTTAAGATCATCAAGTCCAACCCTCAACCCAACACCCCCATTTCCACTAAACCATGTACCGACGTGCCACGTCTACGCATTTTTTTGAACCCCTCCGGTGACAGTGACTCCACCACCTCCCTGGGCAGCCTGTGCCAATGCTTGACCACTCTCTCAGTAAAGACATTTTTCCTAATCTCCAATCTAAACCTCCCCTGGCGCAGCTTGAGGCCATTTCCTCTCATTCTATCGCTGGTTACTTGGGAGACGAGACCAACACCCACCTCACCACCTCTCCCTTCCTTGCCTTCCTTGGATCATGCAGCTGCCAGTCGTTAGCAGTAAGAGCAGTTGCTGTCTCTCCTGTACGCTGATCCTAGGGGCTAATACCTGAGCTAGCAAGATGCCCAAGTCACCTGGGGAGTCGGGGAGCAAGCGGGGCGGTGGCTGTAACCCATCCCAGTGCTGGCAGAAGTCTAGGAAGTGCTTTGTGTAATTGGAGCAGTGGCTTAAACTGCCAAACTTTCATTTGTATTGTAATATTTGGTTTTTACTGTAAAGCCAGCTCCTTAAAAAGCAGTGAAGATACTATCTTCCTGTATGCTCTGGCTTGCGATTGCGCTGTCCCACCTGGCAGGTTCCTTAAAGTTTATCTTTAAGGAGATTTCTCTTCCCGGGATATTTTGGGCATTTTCATTGGCAAATTTGCTATGCCAGAAAGGGGTTTAAGGTTGGGGTTTTTTTTTTCTTTCTTAGTGTTATTTTTTTGTTTTGAAGTGCTGTAAACTCTTCCCGCTTCTCCTTCTTGCCTTTTGGCAAACTCACTCACAAATAGGCATTCAGTTTTCTTAAATTTATTCCTGACTGTGGTATGTGAAGAGTTACATTCTTAGCTGATACAAGTCAGCATAGTTTGCTGAGGGGTACAAGATGGAATTCTGTACTGTGCCTAAATGATTTAGGGCTTCGGGCCAGTTTTAGAAAAAAACATTGTCTTATAAGTGTCAGATTTTTAAAGGCAGTTGGGCATTTAAGTGTGTGAATAAGCATGGGGCCAGACTGATTTTAATCAAGTGGAATTAAGTGCCAGCACTCTTACGAGAAATTCCACCAGACCCCTGATTTTTTTTAAGTGTTTTGTTCTTTGCTACAGTACCTACCTGACTTAAATTCTGAGACGATTTAAGGTCTCAGTACTTAGTTTTCAAGATGAGAATCCATCTTTCCATGTTAATTAGATGCTTTTGGAAATGTCATCTAACGTCTCTTAAACTGGAGGGCTAAAAATGGGAGTAGGAGAACGAGTCCATAATGATGTCATCTCTGCATACCAGAAATGAAAGCAAACAGCAGCATTTCTATCCAATTCATAGTTTTGAATAAAACAAATCTCAAAGTTGAATATCCAGTCTGCAGAGAAGACAAAATCTAATCCCATTTCACAGGCATGCTATTCAAAGCGAGTGTTAAATTTCAAGTCTTGGAGGATTTTTTTTCTTTGGAGAAATATGCTCAACACTTGTTTGCTGGAGCTTTTAATTAAAATTTGTCATGCTGTGATAAATTCCTTTAAAAATGTTACAGGCTCTAATCCACATCAGGGGAAGAGAGAAACAGACAGCTTTCCATTTCAGTGGATTATCGGATTAGGAAAGGACACCGATTCCAGTGAGAACAGCTCTGTGATCTGCAGTAGTAGAAACTACCGAAATGTGTATGCAGTGGTTTTTGAGAACCTTCATCTAATAACCTTCACACTATGCAGCCCGGTGTGTGCTCCACAGATTAACAGTGAGTTAGACTTGTAGTGATAATGGCTTAGATTTTCTCTCCTTATTTATTTTTATAATTGTAAATGGAAGCAGTAAGTTTAAGATGCCTGTAATTTAACTGTAATCTTTTTTTATAGTGAAAACATTCCTGACCCATTACTGCTACCTTCTTTCTTTTTTTTTTTCCTTTTAATTCTTGATCTTACATTTACTGTTGCAGACCAAATTATCTAGTGGACCAGGGTGAGCTGCTCCTAGGACTACACCGGGGGGGGGAAAAAAAAAAGTAAATAGATAATGTGAGGTCATTGACTGCATGGCAGGAGAGGGGCTTTTCGAAAGCACATGAGGTTCACCTAACTCTGCTGCTGTTGATGTTAAAGCACCTTTAGGACAGTATGTGTGCGCACTGGAGAGAGTAGACAAAGGAGTGTAGAGGAGCTTAACGAAAGGTGAAAAGCATCTGTTTGTGCTGCATTGGTCTGACTGTTCTGATTTAAGGCTGTCATTGGCATCCCTGGACGTGCATGACGGCATACTTTTGAACCCGTTTTTCACATGCATGGTCTGCAGTTTTTGTATTTTTTAAGCAGAGGTGTAAGTCCTCAGCAGCTCTGAAACTCAGCCCTAGGATGCATGGTATTAATTGATGTAGTTTCTCATTGTTGGTATTATAAAGGCTTAAAGACATGATAAACCCTGGGACATGTTTGTCTTGAATTCAGGAGAATATGAATGTTGCGTAACATGTTTTTGTGAGTGTGTTGAGATCCTGGATGTGACGGTTTAGTTATAAAACCCACCTCTGCAGACTGCAAATACCTTTCCCCCCGCCCCCCCATTTCTTCTAGTCCTCTGCAATTGAACTGGCAAAAAAACACAGCTTTTAAACTGGCTCTGAAGAAAGAGCAGGAGCTAAGCTTTGGAAAGGGAGTCTGCATCTCTCTGGGTAAATGACATATGATTCACTAAGTCTGTAAAGCAAGGTGTATAAATTTTCATGTTTTTTAGAATGTATTAACTGTTGTAAAGTTTGTAAATACCTTTTTAAAATAAATGTGGTTTTTATGAGTGAACCAGTAAAAAAGGAGCATATAAAAGTCTTTCATACATGAACTACTAAAGTGCAAATAGAACTGCGTTCCAACAGTAAGTTTATTCTTGATTTCTAACAAAGCTGTATTGCTGTTTCATCCAGAGACTAGTGAGATCGGACAGTGCCTTTGTCCAGGCATTGTCTGTACACGTGAAACAAAAGCTGTCACACCCAAGTTTGCATTGCAGGACGCAAAGCAGACCCTGTGCTGCTGAGTCCCCGCCGCTGGACTGGAATGTGTTCTCTTTTACCTGTAAGCTAGTGATCTACACAACAGCTATCTTCTACTACTTAAATGCAACTTCAGAGTATTTATTCACATAATGCAATCTAAGCAAAGCCATTTGAAGAGGAATTTGTTTTAACATAGCTTTGAAATCTTCTTCTGGGTCCATTGTTCCATATGGCTTTGTGGGTTTAAATCTTCTTCAGTCTAGCTTCTCCGGTCAGACTTTCCTGTAAACACACATCATACACTTCTTTAAAGAGAAGAAATAACTTCGATGATGGAATTCTAAAGCCTGGTCAGATGCTAAAATATTCATATCGTGGTCTCCATTGGAAGGAGGATTAGAATGACATAAATCTGACCCGACACGATTTCTCTGCCACCTGCCCATGGATCTGTTCATACAGCGCAATGTAAGTGACACTTGTAACGGCCCCTTTCATCCCAGAGTGCATGACCAACTTCACAGCTGTTAGTGGGTCCAGCCATGGCAGCGGTTCTTGGAGCGCAACCCAACAGCTGTCGAACGCTACACTGTGACAGCGGTTTAGGACAAGAAGCACGAACTTGTACAAAGCGTCAGTACGTAGAATGTCTCTATGAGCTTAAGCAGTTGGCCAAGGGACCAGAGACAAGAAAGCTGTGCTACTGAAAGTACTACAGGGTCATTACGGAGCGGCACGGTTGCGCGTTACCATTCTCTGTGTACCTTAGTACTGTTTGAATGGAAACCACGTTCCTGTGTCACATCCTGCTGGATCTGGTGTCCTCCTTGAATATTTATTTATGCTCTTATGTCGGAGTTGAAAGCCTGAGGTGTTCTAGATAGATGTGCTGTCTGAATATGTTATTTTTTTTTTCCCTATGTGTCTTAGCTAAGTGTATTTTTGTTTGTGCTCACTGCTAGCTTCCCTGGGAAATGATGAAGAGAATTTGAAAAGTTTTTCCATGGGGTGGACCATTTCCAGACACCCAGACACCTCCCCTTTCATTGCATAATATTCCTGTAGCAGCTCCAGGAATGCGTTACATTGGAAAAGCTGCATCTGGAAAAAGTTTTAATTTGTTTTCAATGTTGTCATTAAGCAGCTAGAAATAAGAAGACCACATAGTTCAGACTATGCTACAGGAATAAGACCTGCAAACTAACTGTTTGATGTAGAGGCGTAGATGTTCTTACACTTATGTGCAAGATTAGTAGCAGTTTCTGAGCGAACCTAAAAATCCGATTGGGGGGCGGGGTGCCTTCAGCTCTGCAAAGCAAGGCCAGGTTTCCCTTGGTGAGCAAGACTTACCAAGAACTCCTTTCAAATATCCTGATAATTATTCTGATATCTTTTCCTGCCTAACATAGTCTCTTGCAGTAAAAAAAAAAAACCAGTCTAAACTTACTAAGTTACTATTGCTGGCTTTTCATTCTGCAAGGAGTGCTGTTGGAAGCCAGAGTCATGGACAAAGATTCCATTTTATGTTCAGTACAAATAGGATTAAAGATGACCTTAAAAATTTTTTTTAGGTAGTTTCTGCATGGAAATCCAAAGGCAGTCAGGCTCTGCCCTGTCTGCATCACCGTTCCTGAGTTTATGAGCCTTTATTGAGGCCAGGTTCCTCAGTGAAAGGCTAGAGTGCATACTTGAAAGTTTTGGTCTTGGCTTCAAAAATGAAGTACAGATTGAGTGTTTCAACTTTTAGGACAGCTCAGAGACACTTCCCAGAAAGTGGCGACCATCTGGCCTTATCAAGGTGTTGCTGTATTAATTAAAGAGCACATTTTTGCTTGGGAGTATTCTTTCTATGGCAGTTAGTTTGTATGTGAAGTCTCTGCTGTCATTGCATTACAGCATCTAATGGAAAATACATTTCCCAGTCTAGGGACCTTGGGAGCAGCAGCTTCCATATGGCTTGATCCTTCAGCTGGCAAAATGTGCCTTTGAAGTTAAGCATCTGTGAATGCTGCATAGATTTATATTAAGGTAGAATGTGTTTGACTTTGTTTTGCTTTTAATTTAGTGAGTAATGACATTGGTACAGCAAGAGCATAAACGTAATGTAGTCCTGTCCTAGGTCTGTAATGCTGAGGTACTTGAGAGTGATGCAGATAATAAGGGCAGAGCTGGTATTGGCATGTGTGAACTAAATTTACATGCCTCTTCCTCCTCTTCCAGTACCTTTTTTTGTCTTCCCTCCATGTACTTTCCCAGCCTGGAACAGTCCCCTAATTTTTGCATGGTGATAAAAGAAAACCCATGTTACTTACCATGGCTTCCTTCAGGTCACTGAACCGGGAATGCTGATAGGAGCCGGGGCATTCAGTCTTCTGCACTTCCCCTAATTTTTCCATTTCATTTGCAATCTGAATCAAGAAGTGATACGGCCTTCAGCAAAGGCAGATTTTTCTGTTAAAGCAACTCTACCCTAGTTACAGATGAAGATGAAACTATTCTACTGCACCACTTGAATTCACCTCTTTCCCAGGTGCTGTGCTTGTGCTACAGCAAACTTAAACTCAGGTGGGTGGCTAGAAGTGCTGTTACGAGGGACTACCACATGAAGTATTAGAAAGCATGGGAAAACCACTGGTGGACAGAACCTTCCACATCTGCTTTGTCATTTAATTGCTTACCATCTAATTGGTTACGACACGACAGCTGCCCGCTGCTGCATTCTCGGTGAAGTGGCTGAACGCTGTCATAAAACAGCCCATCCGAGTGTTGCCTGAAACTTAGGGAGAGGAGGAAATCGGGTTTAACCTGGAGCTCAAACTTCCCCCTCTCCTTCGGAGCAGGCTGCCCAAGCTCTGTCTGCAGTAGATAACACTGTACTTTACGCAAGGCTGTCAGATGTCATCTTACCCTAATGCCAATTACTTGCCAATTCCTACCTTAAAAAAAAAAAAGTGTGTGTGTATACACGTATGTAGTATGCTTGGGGTAAGGAGGCAGCGATACACATACACAGTAAAGCCTACGTCACCTCCTTTTTGCTCACATCTCTTACAGATAAGGGATCCTAGCTAAAAAACAGGGTGGTTTTACAGTCTAGAACCTACCTCTTGAAATGATTCTACCAGGTTTTCGGCGTTCCTTTTTCCTCCTGGTTGCAGGCCATAAGACCAGTGTTGAGCCAAGCAGATTTCCACAGACATGACAGACAGGAGGACACTGACAAAGATCTTCTTGGACTTCTCCATCCTGTGAGAGAACAAAGCATCTTTCTGATCATAATGACATTACAGTTCCATTTTTATCTTACAGAATTACGAAATGTTACATTTCTGGATCTCCAGTTTGGATCTTCCGCACCCCAGTGGCATTGTGCCTAAGTGTGAGCCACAGCTGGATTTTGAGCCTCTCAGAGTGTGGATTAGCCCACTATAAAGAGATTTAACATCTGAAAAATTTGGATGAAGATCTAAATTAGGATTTTTGAACACCCTTTCAGAGTTTTAGGAATGTCTAGACCTCAAAGGTTCTGTGAAAGTCCCTGTTGATGTTTGACAGATGTGTTCAGTTTAGCTGGTTTCTGTTCTAATGTCCCTGGCTCCTTAAAAAGTGCTCTTTGCAGTCTCTTCTAATACGAGCATCTGTAAGCACCGAATAAGTAAAAAGGGAACATGGTATGATGTTCAAGCACATCACCTGCTTGCTGAGAGAGGTCGCAGAGTAACTCCAACTCTTCTCCCTTTGAACATGTCCTGCAAGTATGCTTGTCATCTCGCTTTTTATATACAACCACCCCAACGCCAAACCTTTCACAGCAGGTAATTTTATCTAATTCTATCTTACAGGCTCCAATTTTGTGCTTAAAATTGCTGTAATGCAGCAGAAGTAAAGCACATAATTGGAACACCCCTGGTGTAGCTATTAAATTCAGCTGTTTTCTCCAAGAGCCGTAAAAGTTAACAGCCTTTTTTTTCAGAGGCTATAAATCTGACGTTCAAACCTAGCCGACGGCTCTTGCCCTGTGGAAAATACACAATCTTTTCTTCCAGTGACTTCTAATTTTTTTAAGTAGAAGTTCCTGGGTGAGTTTGACTTTATTGAATGGGGCGTACAGGAGTTGAAATGGATGAGGAACTCAGCTTAGTCGCCATCTCTGTGTATCAGGCATGAAGAAAACAGCCCTTTGGTGCATGAACAAGAGCCTATGATTGCACAAGCACACAGAGCATTTGGCATGCTCCTTTCAAAGTCCTCCTTCTTCATGTTTAAATTAAAGTGCCTTGATAATTCTTTGCTCTGTAAAATGCAAAGTAGTATTAAACTGATCAAATGGACGTGTATATTAAATTGTAAACATGCTTTGTTGTCATGATGGAGTGACTCATGAATAGGACTCCCAGACACTGCTATTATTTTGGATTTTTATATATATATATGTGTGTGTGTATGTATGCGTGTTCTTCATTCTTGAGAGTTTATGCGCTGCAGTTTTCTAAAGGAGTTGATAGCTGTTTGCATGCAGGAGTTAAATCCAGTAATTTTGACTACAGAAATCTACTATTTTTTTATCCACCTGGCAGCTATTTTGACTACTTGCAGTGTATGGTTTTATGTGCAATTGAATGTATCATGTTTAGTGTTCTTCAAACATCCTCTCTTCCTGCTCCCACGACCTCTTTGAGATTAATGGAACTAAAAGTCGTTTAATAAGTAAATAATTTAAGGAGGATTTAGTGACTTGAGCAAAGAGTAATTCTTCCTGCTCTGATGCTCCTCCTACTCATGGCAAGAGTAGCCAGCATTTAACTTCAGCTGATAAACTGATCAAGCTGTGAAAATAGTTTGTTTCAGTGGGAGAAATGTTACTTCAGCGTAGGCACACCGCTTTAGGAGTGAGATTTTCCTGTAATAGTGTTTTAAGACTGCTTCCTTCCCTGATGAGCCTAGCAAAAATTAAGGTTACTTAAAGATAAATAGAAGATTTTGTTCCTCCTGAGGGATAACTTTTAAAGAGAGAAGGGGCCTGCTTAGCCCAATAATTGCACCTTTAAATAACTCACCATTTTAAGCTAGCTCTAATGACAGCCTACCCTTAACACCTTCCAACAACTTGTTTCTCCACAGGTTTCTGTTACAGCTACGAAGCTGACCTCCCAAAGCACGTCAGAAAGGGCACGTAACTGCGTCGGTTAGTGAGCTGTTCCATGTCATCTCTTAAACGCTAGGCTACAGCCATAAGTTACGTAAAGGAGTTGGGAGGTTAAAAAAAAGTTTACAGCTGTTTTTGTCCACCCACAAGTACTTTTAGGGGCCTGTGTAACAGAAACCAACCATCTACTCTGATTTTGGCAGAGGCAGAGTCTGAATGGAAGCCTGATGCCAGGTCTGGGAGCGTTTCAGTCTGGGCTGGTCAGGCAAGTGCTCTTGAAAAAATCAAAGCGTGAAGCTGGGTTTTTATCACGTGGCCTCTCTTTAGTTTTCAGACACTGGAATATGGTTGATGTAGACTTTTCAGACAAGCTCCCAGACCTTCAGGTGCACTAGTTTTTCTGTTTTGCGGACAGAGATCTTAATGCCTGCTGATGCTGTTAAGTACCTACATGGAGGGTTAGGACTTGTCAGGAAAACCTGGGTTTGCGGATTCCCATTCCAAGAATCAAGACTTCTCTTTTATCAGAAGTGGTGGAAAAGGATATCCTAACCTACCGAGTCTCTTAGCTTTTTTAGACAGCATTCCTAACCCAAAGCTGTGTACTGGAGGTGGGAAACTGAAGAAGGAACTAGATTGTTGCGTTTTGTTCTCAAGGTGCTCTACAGCACTTATACAGATGTGCTGTATTTGTATTATCACTGCTGTGCCAGAGTTTATTAGAGTGAAATCATGAGCACTTTATAGACCAAGGTCAAGGACAGTTTTTTTTCCCTGCTTTAGCACTTCCTTATTAAGGAAGTTTAGCTGCTTGTGATGATTATCTCTAATGGGGAAAGAGTGTTTTAAATAGTGCACATACCTATGTAAATTGTGGTCAAAGACTTCTGACTCCAACAGTTTTGTTAAGCACATATGAATGGTGGAGCCAACGAAAAGCTGGAAAGTGTTGCAGATGAATGACAAGTCAAAAAAACCCCCATGAAGGTTCTCAAACTCAATGTATGAGAAACATTGCAGCAATCCCCACAAGGTACACTCGTTTCTCTAGCAGGTAAGCTCTAATACTTTTGCAAAAATTCTTTTGCTTTCTGTCATAGTGCACATTGTCTGCGCACAAGTAGAGACTTCTAAAACTCAGTCTTTTCATAAACCAGGACAAATACGTACTCAAGCGTGGGTAACTCCTAGTTTACACTAAGTAGTCCATTTGAGAAAGCACTGGTTATTTCAAATCCTGGCTAAGGTGACAGTCAAGGCCTCAGGAAGGGCAAAACCAACTTTAGCTACAAGATTTTTAAGCTTGTATACAAGCAGCTGTGAAAGTTAAAAGTTGTGTTCTCTTCTAACTTGCTGTCCTTCCCATAGAAGTCAGATAAGATTGAGATTTGTTTTTTAAATTAAGAAAACCAAGACACTCCTATATTTCACGCTTTTATTAATGCAATTTAAATTAGGCTAGAACCTGCAATTTCCAAATAGGCCACTTTGGGCTATTCATACAGCTCTGTCATAGCAAAAGAGGTACCTTAAATTCATCTGTGAACGAATGATGCCACATGCTGTAATTGTTCAAAACATAGTGCTTCAGTGAAAGTTCAAATATATTTTATACACAGTGATTATGAAAATAGATTTTTTCCATACAATATTTTACTTCTGCCAGCTACAAAATATGATAAAGAAAAATAATTCATTTATTTCTCTAGCCCTAGGAATCTTCTTCTACTGCAACATACACATCACTCTTGGTGAAAGCGATGAGGTGGGAGAAAGGACTCAAAAAATCACACTGAAATATTTCCCTTGAATCTATAGGTGTATTTCACCAAGGATAGGTTGTCCTAAAGCCTGATCAAGAGCCCTGGAAATCTGAAGGAAATAAAATCCCAATTCTGAACCACCTGGTTGTGGGATTTTGAGTCCTGGAAGTTCATGTCACATGCCTGAGTCAACCCAACTTGAAAATAAGGGAGAATCCTGCAATTCCGCCCCCCCGACAAATCATATACTGGTCCTGAACTAATCTTTCTAGATTGATGGCAAAGCAGCATTTTCTGAACAAATACTGAGACAAGACTTCTGTTCAGAGGATTGGAGATCTGCACTGCAAGTAAAAGGCAACCCACTGAAGGAACTGTGGAACTCAAACCACTGCTAACAGTGTCACATTCTGTAAGTTTTAGGAGACATTGGTTCTCAACTTCCAGTAGTAGCTCTGTTCCCTTAGATTCAAGGTTAGTTTTAACTTTGGGGTATTTTAAGTAAGCATCTGAGGTAAAGAGTTCTTGATACCTTTTTTTTGGTATAGTTTCTTCATGTACTACTTTTTGATTGTGTGTAAAATAAATGTTTTGTTAGATGAGAACTAGATTGCCACTACAGTGGAGACGGCTTAATAAATGAAGCGCACCACCACTTGAAGAGATGCTGCGAGGCTTTCTGCACTGCAGAAGTCACAGAGTTCCCTATTTGCTCACAGGTAAAGCAGCTGTGGAGAGGGGACTTTGCCCTGTGCAAGATGCTTTTACAGCCACTTTAAGCAGGCCCAAAGTGGAATACTAAGATCTGGCTGGGAAAAGGGTTACGCCCATGCTTTCAAGGATTCGGTGTACAAGAGTTGCATAGCACACTGAGGGGAAACAGGTGCCACATGTTCATACACTGGAGTAATGACAGGAGGACAGAGAATGTGCTGTGGCCCCACTGCTTATCTCTACTCTGGTGACCATACTGTATTTTGCTATGTACATTTAACTCCCTGCAAAGAATGAAAAATCTACAGGTACTCCAGGTTTGGAGTGGTTAGGACATTTGAAAGCAAGAGAGTTTTTTTACCAGCTGTGATTGATAGTGCGATTTCACACTAATTTGGAAAGCATTAAATAAGCCATCCAATTTCTGAACAGGGGTGTTTTAGTTATGACTGAATCTGCTGTGTAGGCAGATCCCTTCAGTGGAAGCAGCTTCCACTGCACATTTTAGAAGATGATAAAGCTGTTCTATACCTGCCTTTGAACTACTACGAGGCAATATATTACCGATGATGACAGTTAACTACTGTTTTCACCCCAGAAGAGTTCCTGTGGACATCATCTAAACCCACATCTGTCATTTCATACACTGGTGCATGAATGAAGAAACTAACTGTAAATACACTAGTCTAACTGTAAACCTGAACTTTGTTGCTACTATACATGAAGAGCATTTTCTATTCATATTGCAGCTACAGATTTAATAAATAGAATTGCATATATTGTGCTTTATAAATTAAAATGCATTCCAAAGTGAGGCAATGCTAAACAATGAACCTATTTAATGCTCCCCCCAAAACCGGCCACACACTCTGGTTCTAGAACCAGCCCACTTCCTCACTCTGTTCACAGAGGTAGAAACAGACACTGTTTCTACCTCTTAAACAAAAGCTCCCTCCCCCAAAAGTGATCAAAGAGGAGTTTACGTAGGCACTACTGCAAATAGAAGTTTTCTAATAACCATTACTTCTAACTTAATAAGGGGAGGAGGTGAAGAAAGTCACAATAAATGTTTTGATTCCTTCCTCTTCAGCATGTTCTCTTCCCTATCTGACGCTCTGAGAC